CGTTTGCCCGTTTTAGGATGTTTAGTAAATCGAGTGAGCGTTTAGATATAGACGAAGAGACATGCCTTTAGGATCTCGATTCATGCCTTGAGACGTTAGCGACCAGTGTGCTGGGTTTAGGGCAAGACCTAGGTTTACTTTCGGATTGAGGCTATGCGATGACTAGTCGGCTTTCGTTTTGCCTGTTGCGATTTTAACCAGATTCCATACCGATTTAGAATCCGTGATAGGTTCTCGGATTATACGATTCGTCTGGTTGGAACCGAGCATCTCACCGGAAACAATTTCTAAGTTGCCCGGAAGTGCTGACCAAAAGTTTGGATTTCTTTTATAGCGCTATTACCCTTGTGTCGGGTGTTCGAGAGCTATCTCTGCGAGATAACTTAAGTTTGTTTAGGACTGTTGCGCGTTTGTTGTGATCAGCAACAAACTTTTTAAGTGATAGATGTTTACGTTGTTTTGGCCTTCGCGAAGGATACATACGTTAAGAAGTTTTGCGTAATTTTATAGTCGCGGACGGACTGTTAGGTCTTCCAAGAAAATGACTTTATTGAGGAAAGTATTTGTGTCGAAAAACTAATCTCCGGGCGTCTGCGACGTCTCGCAGTGCCGAAAGTTGGTTTTTTTTTTATTGCCGCGTTTCTTGTTCGGAACATTTTCGGGCTCGAAGATGTTGCGCGGTGTTGCGAGGGTTTTGTCTTAACCCTGCTTTGCAGGAACACTTTGGTTTGTTTGCGTATATTCGCAATTAAAACTTACATTCCTGTTTGGATGTTAGGTAGTTTTATGATTTGTGCTAGAGCAATTAGGACCGAGAGTTCGTGTAAGTTGTTTCCCCGAACGAAGCGTTTTTCGTTGCGGTGCTTTGTGAAGTGTTGACCTTCCGAGATTCGTACGGCTTTAGGAGCTCTGGTACCACTACAAGAAAATAGGAGTATTGTTACCACAATATTTGTCACAATATATTCTTTTTCCGTCACAAATTTTCTATTGTGACCAATGTGTGACAAATTATAAAAAGTCACAATAAAATGGTCACAATTCAGTTTGCGTGTCAAAATCGTCACAATTTTAGTGACCATTAACCGCAGTAACAAATTTGTCACCAATTGTGACAAAATTTGAAAGTCACAAAAACAACACAATTTGTCACGACTTAAATTGTCATAAATACGTTGTAAACCGTGACCAAAGTTAAGCCACAGATTCGTCACAAGTTGCTACCCAATATATGTCACCCATTAGTTACATATTATGTCCAAAGTTATGTCGTTTATTCGTCACAGTTAGCTACAGAAAGATGGTAATGAGATTGTCACAAACTCCTTTAACTTGTGACGTTTTGTTGTTACTAATCTTGCAACATATCATGACTAACAGAGTGAAAATAAAGTGGCAAACCAGTCACATATTGTAATTACAACATCAGTTTTAAATATATAAATATTATAATATACGATGAAACACTAAAAACGTTACCACTAATATACCAAATAAAACTTAACATACAAATCAAATAACAAAGATAGGTGCACAAAGATAATCACATGAAATAGTCTTAACAAAATACATAATAAAACATATTAAAAACATGGGGTGAACGTACGCTTCATGGAAAGTGGAAATTTCTGGTGGTGGATCCAAGTCTAGACACTTAGACTTGTGATAGACTGAACAAGAGTCTCCATATTCTCAAGTCTCTTCTGAAACTGCAGATTCTCTTCACGGCTCTGTTTTAGTTCTGCTTCCACCTCTTGTAATCTCTGTGTTATCATTTCAACTTCTTCAGAAGCTTCGGGTGCATTCGACGAAACATAACAAGCTGGTAAAATCTTACTGTGTAATGCTCCAAGTCCAAAGACACGTCCCTGTTTAGACATTCCAGCAGCCTAATAGAAATGACAAAACATGAGAACAGAAACAAAAGCACTACAAAAACTGCAACTACAATAAATAAGCATAGTATTTACCACCATAAACATCACAAGAAATGCATGTGTAGTTCGTAAAAAAGTAACAAGCCACAACAACAGTGACTATTTTGACAATATCTTATAATCATATGCCAGTAGTATTAATAAACATCACAAAACATGATTTAAAATTATAACAGTATAAGAGTTTAGAATATTACCTTGACATAAATTTCATTTTTTTCACACTGGTTAAGATTCTCAAGTGTTACATTATCTAGACCAGAAGATTCGAGCTGTCCCAAACGTTCTTCCACGTGCTTCTCATAAGTTTCTGCAACCAAGCGAGCACGCTCATCAACGTATGTTCCGTCAGGTCTTTGATGAGTTTTCTTCATCACAGCAATAAAAGAGTAGTCTTCGTTGTTTGCTTCCTATAAACAGTTACAAAATTAAAAAATAAATAATACAAGTGATCAGAAACTCAGAATGGAAATATAAACCTTACCAGCATATCTTGAACTTTGGCATAGGAACATGAACCCGCTCTATGCCGATGCGGACCTAAACCATTGCGATCAGACAAACGAGAAGCACGTGCACTAGCACTCGTTTTCTTGGCTTTCGGTGTTGCCCAATAAGCTTGCATAATGGTCCAATAGTCAGACAAAATCCAGTCAGGTTTTACTCCTCCTTTCTTTGCAACACTTACCNCCGATGCGGACCTAAACCATTGCGATCAGACAAACGAGAAGCACGTGCACTAGCACTCGTTTTCTTGGCTTTCGGTGTTGCCCAATAAGCTTGCATAATGGTCCAATAGTCAGACAAAATCCAGTCAGGTTTTACTCCTCCTTTCTTTGCAACACTTACCATTCCTTTGAGGCGATAGGCAGCAAGTTTATTAAACTCCGTTTCAGCTGAATAGTTGATCAGAGCATCCCAACTGAACTTTTTCTGAAAAAACAAGTATAGCAAACACAATCAATGAACTATAAAACCATTACAATATTAGATAAGAAACATAAAATAAAACATACCTTAAACATTGAAAACCATGTTCGTTTATAATAAGGCGGCACCTTTTTCCAAGAGTACCATGGTCCTTTAAAACAACCTTGAATGATCTTTCTGATTGCAGTTGACACTTCTGTGTTGTGGTTAAACCTGTTCCATTGAAATAAATTTAGTAATGAATTATAAGTTTGAGACAAATGGTAATTGGACAGTACCATTTAGATCCATTCTGTCGAGAATGATGGAGCATGGGCAAAGATGTACGAACTACATATGCATCTTCCATATGTACACTTGGTTCAGAATTTGCAACATGTGTAGGCGAGAGAGCAGGGGAAGGGGGTTCTTGTGAACTACCAAATCGATGATTGAATGATCTCCCATAGGAGCGCCCACCTATTATTGGTGAAGCCATCTAGGAAAACAACTGATCAAATAAGATACATGAATGTAAGTTACTCAGAATTAAAATAAAGCTAAGACCATAATATGTGAGTTTCATTACGAAAGCGTGTTGATGAATACGAACAATTACGTTAAGGTTCGCAAAATCATGATACAAAACTTTGATACACTTTTAAGAATTCAACTCCAAATCCACAATCAAGTAAAAATTTACCTTTTTAACTGGAGGACAAACAAACCGTCGGAATAAGGAAGACGACTGAGAGCCCGAGAGAGCAACAAATAAAAGACATATCTAGAAAGTTGATCTTTTTGGGGGTTTTAATGGGTTCGTGAAAGTTTTGGCAACACTTAGAGCGGTATATCGAAAATTTTATGCCTCCACTAACAAAATTTAAGGCGGCTTGATTAAAAAGTTTAGAAACCCACTATCTAATTTTAAGACGTGTGGTTATTTTAACAAAAAAAGAATCTCTATAATATTATTTGAGAAGTCACTTTATTATGTGTCGCGTTCACATTAACTCTCACGCTGGTTGATTACTATGATACCCTTAATAAATTTAAAAAGTATATTTAAATATTATTATTTCCTTTTAAAAATTTTCCAAATAACAATATAAAATAAAAAGGAAACATTTATAAAGTTTACAAATCTATTTAAAAACGAAAATATAAGTATATATAAATATGGTTTCATAAAAAAGGAAAGTTCACAAAATAGTAATATTTTAATTTAAATATATTTTAAATAACATAAAATATACTTTTGAAGTAATAAAATACTTTCTATCTATATATTCTTAGATGAAAAAAAATATTTGTATATAATGTGATTCCATAAAAAATTCACACAACTAATCTTGATATTAGAAAAAGAAATATTTTTTCTTTAAAAAAATAATTTTAAACAATAAATATATATATTTTCAAAGTAATTATTATTTTTGTGTATATCTATCTATTTTATTAGATGATTACATAAAATAATTAAGTAAGATAAACTAATGTATGTTTAATTGACAAAAAAATATACAATTAATATTCTTGAAATATATTTTTTTATTTTTAGTATATTTGTTTGACTATAATATCTTACAATTACAGAAAAAAATATAAATTCTATTTTACTTATATAATATAATTTTCAAAAACAATAATTTTTTTTACTGCATATTGTAGGAGATATTAAAAACAAAACTAAAAATAAATTTTAATAATAAACGTTTATTGATCAAATAACTACAATTATTTTAAAACATCATAACACTATATAATTTAACAAAGTATAGATATTATATTTTAATATTTAGATTTATATGTTTGCTTAATAATTCTTTGGATTTTTTATTTTCTGTTTTTATGTTTGTGGAACTTAATATAACCATAATCAAAATACTTAAGCAAATCAGAATCATTATTTTAAAGTTATTTAAAATAATTTTCTGTTTACCATCCAATCAATCTAAATATTGTAAATATTGATATGTGTTCATAAGCTTCCAAAAATTTATTAGTTACGCATGTACGTAATTTAGAATCATACAATTTAGTTTCTATTTTTTTTGTTTCTAAGCATAAAAAATCTTAAGTTATACATACTCTTACTAGATATACTTATATTTTTAAAATAACAACCGGCATAAATGTAAATAAGACGATTAATCAAAAATTTAATATATTGAGGATAAAAAAGATTATAGTTGAATTTAGAAAAATAGATAGAATCTAATATATCCAAAAGATAACTAAATCAACCGTAAAAACAATAAAACTGATGAAATATAACATATCTAAAATTATATATATAATTAAATTAATATAACATTATTAATACAAATTATACCTACAATATACCAAACTGATAACCAAACCGACTATTGATCTAAAAAATAATTAAACTGACAATAATATATCCAAAGTCATATGTATAATTATAATAATATAATATTTATTAATATAAATTATACATATAAATTGATTTAAAACTAAAATTAAATATAAATCAATTATTATAAAATTTTACTTTTATGAATATTCATACCCGTGCATGAGCACGGGAAAATCACCTAGTATTTAGTTAATTAAAAAGAAAAATATGAAGCTTAGATAAACTATAGATAATGACAAAAGTAACAATTTTTTAATTTTAAAACTTCTGGTTATTTTAAAAGAAAAAAATATTTTATGGAAATAATAAAAACATGTAGCTTAAATAAATTATAGATAATGAAGAAAGGTAACAAATATTGTTTTTGAAAAGGACAGGTGTTTCCTCAGTTTTTGCTTGGAAGACAAGTTTTCTTTCAATAGCTTTTGTTCATGTAAATCACCAACATAATGGCACTTCTGATCTATTAGCCAAAAAAGAAAGTTTGTAATGACAATAATCATTTTAGTCGAAAAAAAAGAAGAACCACCCCATACACTTAAATACATAAGTTTCGTTTATATAACTCTATATATCAAAAGCTACTTAGATATGATAAAATATGGAAAGAGGCTTCAGAATTGATGATTCTTATAAAAAGAAAACAAGTTCGACAAGTCAACTCCGATCATCACGAACAAAAATACATCAATTCGGTGTCTGATTGGGAGAAAAGATACAAGAAAGAAAATTATTACTTGAGAGCAGCTCAAACAAGTTTATGAAGCATAAAGCCTTGACTGTAATTACTAACAATGTCTCAAACAACAGCTTATCAAAGTATATAGCTAGGCATGAAGAATTATAATGGCTGTCCAGGAGTTGAGTGTTAAATTCTTTTAAGCCACGAAACAGATGCTATATCACCTGCTCCATTTCATCAACTCCATTTTCTTCTATTAACAATCTTATTTGCCATATTCACTCATGTCTGTATATATACTCTTTTAGAATCAGATTCTATCATCACAAACATTTCATTTGTAACAACATTGCATCTCTGATTATCTTTCTTTATCAATGGCAGGTCAAATGATTCTCTTTTTTTCTGGTCATATCGCTCTTCGTTAGTTTTGCAGCTGCGGCTCGGCTTCTTGATGAAGAAGATACATTCCCGGCCACAACCTCCCCTGGCTCTGCCTCAACTTTGGGCTCAGGTCCCTTTCGTGGTCCTTTCTTTAAGAGGGTATATCACTTCCTTTAAGTCTCTGGTTTTGTTAACAGTGTGAGATTTTGGACATATGCTTTGTTATGAGTTGATTCCTAGATTAAAGCTTTGAAATTAAGAAAGTAAAGACAGTGATAAGTAGAAAAAGAACTCTAAAGAAGAAGAAAAGGAAGAAGATTCAAGCACTGAATGTAGAAGAATGGAAGCAATATATTAAAAGTCAAAAGAAGTTGTTTCAGTAACTAGTCGTTAGCAAGATATTAGTTTTAAATGATGAGTTGGTCAGTTCCAGAATCGTTGTTTAAACAGAATGAAACCTAAAATAAAATATTAAGTTGAAATAGGGGTTTAAGTCGAAATAAAATGCTGAAACATAAGTCTTAAATCAAAATAAAATAGAGACAATGACCAGTTTAATCAGACTCTTCTTCCGTCACTTCGGATTTTGTAGGCAACTTGCTTTGGGAATAGAGTGAATCGCGAGAATACAGAAGTTAGCCGATTTTTGACAAGTTTGCATTATCCGTTGAACGTATTGGCTTAGCGTGAAGGTTGTGTTCAATCGCACAGCCAAGGTCGTATTTGGTAGAGGATTAGACCACAACACTTTCGTGCTATCAGAAAGGTCGAGTCGGTTTGTAAACTTGGCATTGAAGTGAAGCGCGATCGGACAATAGCCGAGTAGTGTTTGTCAAGCTTGATATGCCAAGTATGCTCGTGTTTATAGAAAACGTTTTTCCGTTGTAGGCTTGATTTATACGATGAAAATTTCGTATAAACTTTCCTTTGTATGGAAGTTGTTTCTTTTTACTCGAGGGAGACAGATCCTAAGAAGCTCGATGCAAAGCCCGTGCGGAGTCGTTTGTGGGGCGATCTCATTCTCGGATGTAAACGGGAGGAATGAGAGCGGATGTTCGTGAACCGATGGGCTAAAGAGTGAGATCTTTCAGATCGTGTCGCGAGGAGGAAAAGTTTAGACTGGCCGCCCAGTGTATAAGAAATTTCCGAACAAAAGAAATCCGCGGAAAACCTTGAAATCTTCATCTCGGAAGAACGAACGAAACAAACGCCAATTACACGATTATCCGAGTTAAGCACAAAACCGCGAAAAACCGCATCCGCCGTTAACCGCGAGCAGGTACAAGTTCAACGTAAGACGAGCCGAACCAACCGGTTCAGCTCGCAGTACGGCGAACTGGTCGGTCCTGGACCAGCTCGCCGTACAGCGAGCTAGGTGACATCGAGCCATCTCGCCGTACGGCGAGCTGGTCACTTCACGAACAGCTCGACATACAGCAAGCTGAACCAACCCAGTTCGGCTTGCCGTACGTCGAGCTGATTGTCCCGAACCTTGACATCCCACGTCCTCAACTCAAGGCATACGTCCTTCGGCTCGATCGTGTTCTGAACCACGATCTCGTTTCGTCTCGATTCGTCCTATCGTTCAAGTTTTACGCTAAAAACCGTAAAGTCTTGTTTTCTCGAAAAAACTCAAGGAAATCGTTTAAAACGGTAATGGTTAAACGAAACAACAAACATTGCCTAACTATACGATTTACTCTAGATTTTTCGTGAAAAATCATAAAAAACGCGTTTTTAATAAAACCTCGAGTAAATCGTAAAAATGGGAAAAGATTAACCGAAACATCGAACATTGCCAAACTTTGCAATTCATTCGAAAAAATTATTTTTAAAAAAGCATCAGGAAACGATCTCGTATAAAGTCGTAAAACGGTTTTATCGCAAAACGGCTCGAAAAGTCCTAAAACGCGATAAAAACCTATCACGTGACTTTAACGAAGTCTAGCCCAAAGATACGAGGACGTTTTAACGATTTACTCGCAGAAAGAAGATAAATGAAAAATTTGAAGATAAATGTCAAGTTTGAGGATAAATAGAAGATTTCCGCAGGAAAAAAGGAAAGATAAAGATAAATGGAAGATTCTCAACAAACTCGAATCTGGGCGAAATGGAAGGACTAAACCGCCTAGGAAGTGAGTATATAATCAAGAGGCAGAGGACAGAAGCAGAGGACGAATTCTAGACCTAGAGAGGCGGCTGTTAGCTTAGGCGAATTTAGGACTTAGGTGTTTAGACTAGCAAGTCGGATCCTTAGAACGTTTTGACGTCTAAGTTTCGCGATTCTCTTTGTAACAGCAGTCAATCTCTTATTCAATAAAAGCTCTTACGCAAATTCTTTATTTATACTCTGTTCGTCGTTATTTTCGTTCATCCATATTCTGTTAACTTTGTTCTTTTTAGTGATTTCCGCAGAGATCTAGGACCTCGGGAGAGTTAGAGTTTTCCCTAAGTTTCCATATTTGATGGAAAATTGACGATGTGAATTTTGGTTCCCACATTTTGGCGCTAGAAATAGGGGGGTCGGATTCTCTTACACAAAAATCGCTGAAACGAACAGATATGCCTAAGTTAAACGGCGACGTCATCTCGTTCAAGGAAAGAGCAACGATCGATTCGATCAAACCTCTCAACGATCTTCTTGTCATCGAGCTGGCGATCTAGAATATGGATGTCGCAAGGATATTAGTCGATACCGGACTCTCGGCTGATATCATCTCAAAAACACTCTCAAGAGAATGAAAATCGATCTGTCTGAAATCGCGGAAAATGCAAGCCCGCTAGTAGGACTCTCGGGAGAAATCACTATGACTCTCAGCACAATCAACCTTACGGTTCACAGCAGAATCATAGTAAAAATCGTCGAATTCCAAGTCGTCGACCAACCCATGCCCTACAATGCAATCATAGGGACACCGTGGTTAAACTCGATGCAAGCAGTTCCATCGACGTATCATATGTGTCTTAAGTTTCTGACTCCATGCGGAATCGAAACTATATGGGGAATTCGGAGAACCTCGCAGGTTTGCTATGCCGTGGATCTAAAACGGAAAAATCTGCCGACTGACGCTTCGTCCAAAAAGAAAAGGAAATCGTCTGCCCTCGACAACTCCCCAAAGCAAGATAAAACGGGAATCTTCTGGCAGTTGCGAGCAGCCGAGGCATTGGAAGGTTAAAAGCTGAACTCCTGACGCGTCTGAAACAGAACTCGAACACGTTCGCATGGACTGCGGAAGATATGCCAGGAATCAACATTAACATCACTTGTCACGAACTCAATGTTGACCCGACCTCCAAACCCGTCAAACAAAAAAGACGGAAACTTGGGCCAGAACGCGCCGAGGCGGTCAACAACAAAATCGACAGACTCATCAAAGTCGGATCGATCACAGAAGTTTGATATCCTGACTGGCTCGCAAATCCTGTCCTCGTTAAGAAAAAGAACGGAAAGTGGCGAGTCTGCGTCGACTTCACCGATCTCAATAAAGCAAGTCCTAAAGATAGTTATCTTCTGCCGCACATCGATCGCCTAGTCGAGGCAACTGCAAGGAACAAACTCTTATCTTTCATGTACGCTTTTTCAGGGTACAATCAAATCATGATGAACCCTGACGATTGGGAGAAAACCACGTTCATTGCTGATCGCGGAACCTATTGCTATAAGGTAATGCCTTCGGTCTTAAAAATGTCGGCGCGACTTATCAACGACTCGTCAATCGCATGTTCGCCAAACAACTCGGAAAAATGATGGAAGTGTACATCGATGATATGCTCATAAAATCACTCGAAGAGCGAGATCATGTCGTGCACCTCCAGGAATGTTTTGAGAGGCTCAACCTTCATAACATGAAGTTTAATCCTGCAAAGTGTCGATTTGCCGCCGCATACGGAGAATTTTTAGGATATCTCGTCACTTACCGAGGGATTGAGGCCAACCCGAAGCAAATCATGGCGTTGATAGAAATGGTATCCTCTAGGACAAAACGCGAAGTACAATGACTGACCGGCAGGGTCGCAGCACTTAACCGCTTTATCTCGCGGTCAACGAACAAATGTCTTGCTTTTTACGAAACATTAAAAGGAAACAAAAATTTTGACTGGTCAGAGGAATGCAACAAAGCTTTCCAACAGCTAAAGCACTACCTAGCTACCCCGCCAGTACTCGCAAAACCCGTAGAAGGAGAACCATTATTTCTCTCCATCGCGGTATCAACGACCGCCGTAAGTGGTGTCCTCATACGAGAAGAATGCGGCGAGCAAAAACCGATCTTTTACGTAAGTAAGACGCTACTGGACGCGCAAACACGATATCCGATGATGGAAAAACTTGCGCTAGCCGTAGTCATGTCGGCAAGGAAACCGAGACCGTACTTCCAGTCCCATAATATCGTCGTGCCCACTTCATTCCCTCTCCGGACAATTCTGCATAGCCCCAGCCAATCGGGAAGATTAGCAAAATGGCAATCGAACTAAGCGAGTATGACATTGAATATCGTGCAAAGACTTGTGCGAAGTCGCAAGTGCTCGCAGATTTTCTAGTAGAACTCCCGACGGGGGGCACGCCAGACCAGGAGCCGAATTCAACTTGGATCCTATACGTCGACGGATCCTCGTCCAAATAAGACTCCGGGATCGGCATCCGGCTCGCATCCCTGATGGGAAAAATATTTAAACAATCGTTTCGATTGATTTTCCATGCTTCAAACAACAAAGTAGAATATGAGGCATGGATCGCAGGGTTGCGACTAGCTCGCGGTCTAAAGATTCGCAATCTCCACGCTTACTGCGATTCCCAAATCGTAGCTAGCCAGTTCAGCGAAGAATACGAGGCAAGGGATGAAAGGAAGGA